AACGAATACTTACAAATGATCCAGCTTAGCTTTTGCACCAACATGTTGAATGTGTGAACAGAAGGAAAACTCTAGACTTCTCTTAAGAAGAAGACACATGCACATGGTATTTATAATACAGACAGATCCATTGTCATCTGTAAATAACAGATAACAAGTCTTTTGTTGATTGTTAACTTAGTTGATTGTACATTGCAAATGTTTTATGATTCGATATTATCCCATTTTACTGCTTTATTGATCATATGTTTGATCACCTTTACGACCCAACTGAGACTCCTTACAATTTCCAGAAAAGTTGTTCCTGTTGTGGGATTGTATAGTGATCTATATAACTATGTGTGCCTGGGCTATGGTTGTGAGGAATAAAGGCAGGGAGTCTAACAGGGAGTCATTTTCCAGCATCGTCTCTGGCTCTTGTTATAATAAATGTAATAAATAATAAATGTTACTTCCTTATGCCGGGCCTTTTTATCAGTAGATATAGTTTTGTGATCTTTGGTTGGTCATAAAAGTGGTTTTTGAACCAGGAAATCTCAAATACAATGTCCTTTATATACTGTTCTTGAGTATTGAGCATTCCTGATTATTTATCTGCATGCTTTGACCATACATTGGACTTTTACCGTTTTGGCATGATTAGAAATACAATGACAAAAACGCCTGCTGCATCTGATAAGATCAATGAACTGCCCAAATTACAATTGAGAAGAAAGTATAAGCTTCTATCAGTGTTTTATATACTTCTTTACATATTATACTTATTTTTCTATAAAACATATGGCCATCTATTTCATATTGTTCTAATCATTCATATATTTAATTATAGATTTGTTTCAACCGATTAAATGCTACTGTAATAAGCTGTGCCGTGTCATATGATTGTTCAGAGTACATCAGTGTGTGTGAAAGAGGGGAGGCAGATTTCATTTCAACTGCAATTTATTTATATAAAGCTTTTTTTTTTTTTGCAAAAAACAGTTTCAAAGCAGCTTTAAAGAAAAGAGAAACAGAAATAGCAGTGCTAAAATGTACTACTTCTGCTCTTCCAGGCTGTTTCCTCATCGACTGATGCAGATCATGCTCTGTAACTTGAGACAGAAATCAAACATTGCAGCATTATAGATTTCATTAAGATCTCTAAGTGAAAGTATACAATGAATCAACTTTATAAAGATGTTGAAAATCAATCCAACCCTTGGAGAAAATATATTTTTTTAATTTATCAAAAACTGTTTGTGTGTGTGTGTGTTTAACATAATTCCTACTACTCTAATTAGTAAATATAAAGATCAATAATAAGAATAAATGTTTACTCACAAACCCACACGCAGGAGAACAGCATATTCTCACATGTGCTGACATAATATATGGTTGTGAAAGGCAGTTGTGTCATCTTCTGGTGAATGTTAAAATATGATATATCATGTATGTGTATGTGAACTTTTAAGATTGGCAGGCATCTTAAACTGAAAGCTGGGTGAGATCTTACATATGTTTTGACCTCAGATGTTTCTTCATGTAGCAGTTTGTTTCAGACAAAGTTACTTCTAGTTTCAGCAGTTGTCAATCTGAATTTTATATCTAAGCGATCACATTTTCACTGTATAAACTGTGTTCCCATTTTGCAGTATTTATTTTTTATTTTTCTTTATGTGTAGAACACATGCAAATTTGTATCACTGGTTGTTCATGTATCTACAGCCATATTAAAAATGTGTGAACATCACTGCATTAGATATTAAACCAAGTAGAATTTATTTTAAAGAAATAGGCTAATCACACTTAAACAATTCCTAAAAAATGGTTTTGTTAGGTTTTAAATTATAAAACTCTTAATTTTTCAAAATTTAATGTTGAGACGCCGCCATGTCGTGAAGGCGCTCTGTGTTTCGTTGTGAAAGCAAAACTACTTTGTTTGGCCTTCCAAAAGAGGACGATATCCGCTTCGTCATGCCTGGAGCTGATCCGTGCTGGTCGCTGAGGGAATACATCAACTTCGTGCTGTGGATTGCCGGATCGGCTTTCACCGTGGACGAAGCGGAGTCCAGCCCAGGGTCGGCACATGTGGTTGCCGCAAGCCCGCCGGACGTTACTTCGTCGAATCCACCGGCCGCCTCTCACTCTAGCCCGCTGTGTGTGACGCTGTTCGTTTCATTGTGAAAGCGAAACTACTTTGTTTGGCCTTCCAAAAGAGGACGCGACTAGAAATCAGTGGTTAAGTTGTATTTACAACACTGTTCCAGAACACTTCAA